CTACTGGGGCTTTGGGGAAATAAAGGGAGGAGGAGTGGCAATAGATGTTAGCTCAGAGCCGGTCTTCCCCAGCAAAATGAGGAGGATTAGCATGGATGTTAGCTAAGGGCTGATCTTCCTCACAAAAAAAAAAAAAGAAGAAGAAGAAAGAACTGTGCAAATGAGAGAAGAGTTACTTCAGAGTGGTCTCGCCCTAGGACATGTGGAGAGCTTCTTCCTTGGCCTCCACATGGGCTTATTTGGGAGGTCCTTCAGGTCTTCCCACTTCTCTCTACGTCCTTGTGCTGCCCTAAGCCAAGACACCATCACCTCTTTCATGGACCTCTGCGGTAGCTTCTTCATTGGCTTCCCCACACTCACACGATCTAGTCTCTATACTGCCGACAGAGGGAGCTTTAAACACAGATATGATTGCCTCACCCTCCCTCTTCATACTCTTTACAGGTTTCCTCTTGCCTTCAGCCTAGAAGGCTGGCCCTGCTTCCTGCCTGTTCTCATCTCAATCCTTCCTCTGCCCCTCCCCGCCTTCTCCTCTCTCTCTCAGTTTTAGCCAAGCTCTCTTCAGCCTCTCTGGGTATTTGCATATGTTGTTCCCTCTGCCAGAACATTCTTTCCTTCTCTAAGGAAGGACCTCAGTGACCTGCCATGCTGCCCCCCGACAGCTGGATGCGATCTCCTGTGATCCCTCCATACTCTGCTCTATAGTAATTATTTGCCTAGTAACTATTGTCTAGTTGTTTTATTTAATTTAACTTTTGACTTCCTCACTACAATGTGGTCCCCATGAGCATAGGCACTATGCTCAAAATTCATATGGTGAGGTCCTAACCCCTGGGGACCTCAGAATGTGACTGGACTTGGAGATAGGGTCCTTAAAGAGGTAATTGAGTTAAAATGAGGTAATTGAGGTGGGCCCTAATCCAATACGACTGGTGTCCTTATCAGAAGAGGAAAATTAGACACAGACACACACAAAGGGAAGACCATGTGAAGACACTGGGAGCAGACGGACATCTACAAGCCAAGGAGAAAGACCTGAGAAGAAATCACCCCTGCAGACACCTGATCTCAGATTTCTAGCCTGTGTAACTGCGAGGAAATGAACATCTGTTGTGTGTGCCGCCCAAGCTGAGGTCCTTTGTTATGGCAGCAAACTAATAGTGATACCAGCTCAAGACAAGTTTGACATAAGGGAAGCCATATTGTAGAAAAGAAGCCCTATTGTAACTTTGAATGAACTCTGACTGACTAACCCAGCAGGATGTGCACCCTCCAGGAGATCTAACTGCTCTGTAGATTTTACAACCCCTGCTTGTGCGTGTACCTCCCAGCTGTGATAAGATGATAACTTTGTTCTTGTGAGTTCCTCAGGAATGTGATGACTCCCGAACAGAGAGTCTATGCTGATAGCCATCATCAACGAAACTGAAAGATCTGGTGTGGCACTCCCAGTCTGTAACACCAGAAGGTCAACATTCCTAACTCCCCAATAACCCAATGGCCTATATAACTGCTGTAAGATTTTGTGCCCCCTTCAGATGGTTCTTTTGGACATTAGTCAGCCATCTTCCCTCTTGCTAGCAAGCTGTAATAAACTGCCCTTTCTTTTCCACCATCTTGCCTCTTGACAATTGGCTTTTGTCACGCAGAGAGCAGATCGTGCCCTTTGTGTGGTAACAGAAATCTGGCGACTCTGGTGGGATGTTAAGTCCTGCTGGTGGCCAGCCAACCTCGGATGGGCAACCTGTCGGGTAAATCCCTAGCGGCTGCTGAGGCTCTCTTTGTCTTGGGGATCTGCCCTACCTGCTCTCCTGTGCCTACACCAGCTGCCTCCTAATGCTCCCTATGGTGGGAAGAGAAATGGCTACTTCTGGTGGGTCTACGGGCTCACATTTGGAGTAGGGTATGTCGCTTTGGTGGTGCACCACCAAGAACTTTCCTACAGCTCCATCTGGCGTCCCCTCTTTGAGAAGGGGGACCATCTGGTTAATAGGGTGCCCTGCCAGAGTGGGAAGAGGTATAGGACTTCACCTGGAATCTAGGAACTTGGTGTCCACCATTCCTAGGTTCAGTGGTGTCTCATTTGTCTGTGTCTGTGTCTGTGTCTGTAAAGAGCTCCAGGATCAGACGTCTTTTGGGTTTGGGTGAGTGACCTCATTAAAATATGGCTGTGGGGGCCGGCCTGGTGGCACAAGCAGTTAAGTGCGCATGCTCCGCTGCAGCAGCCCGGGGTTCGCTGGTTAGGATGCTGGGCACGCACCGACACACCGCTTGTCGAGCCATGCTGTGGTGGTGTCCCATATAAAGTGGAGGAAGATGGGCATGGATGTTAGCCCAGGGCCAGTCTTCCTCAGCAAAAAAAGAGGAGAATTGGCAGATGTTAGCACAGGGCTGATCTTCCTCACCAAAAATAAATAAATAAATAAAATGTGGCTGTGCCTAAAATTGTCTAATGTCTCACCAGGATAGTGGGTTAGAGGCCCCACTGGTGAGATTTGGGTGCTGGGTTACAGTCCCAAGGAGAATTCTGGGAAACAATATAAAGGTTACAGCCGCTGGGGCACTCAAAAGGATCGGGTTAGAGTCCTGAGATCTGGGTTAGAGTCTCAGAGTACCCTGGGTTAGAGTCCCAGAATATCAGATTTTGGTGTCTGTTCATGTTTGTCTATGTCTGACTGTTTTATTTTTTAAAATTGGCTGTTTGGGGACTGAGTTTCTTGGTGATCATAACAAACTTTCTTTAGAAATTACCTAGTTTGTTGCCGCCACCTTGGGAAAAGCCCACTAAAAGGGATATAACTGTAAACAGCTGGCAAGATAACCTGGGACAATTTAAAATTACAGTGGCCATTTTGGGCTCTTTTTGAGCCTCCAAACCAAGGAACAAGGAAAAATCTTTAATCTTTAAAGAGTCAAGGGCTCCACCTTTTGACTGAAAGTTTCCAGAAGGTGTAAATGTTTGCAGAGAACAGCAGAATCTTGGCGAGCTTGTTTTGTGTCCTGAGGGCTTGGCTTCACAATCATCAGGTGGGGGGCGTGTCCCAAAATACGGTTGGACAAAAATATGGTTGCACCTCATTTTGCAGTCAGACATAGTTGGACAGAAATGCGAGTTGCACTCCTGTTTGTGGCTAAGAGTCCTACCAAACTGCCGTCAACCTCAGGGGAATTACACTGGCCATTAGAAGAAAGCCTTGGCTGGGCCTTCATTGTAAGGGTCTTGATTTCAGGGATGCTTTAAATTTTCGCGATCAAATTCTAGCTGCAGCATAAATATATTTTTGACCAGCCGTGTCTAAATTCTGGAACAATGGAAACTCTAATTCAATCCCCACGTGTAACCCCTTAGGCTGCATTCTCCTGAACTGGGCGACTTTCAGCTATAAGTATGAGCTCCTAAGTATTCATTGGCTTATTGATCCTTCTCCTCCCAGAGACCGTCGCTATTTTTTCCTTTTCTTTGTTTTTTGTGTCATTTGTCATAAAGGAAAAACCACAGAGCAAGATGCAGGCATCTCCATAAGCCTGTTGTCTGGGCGGGCTTGCAGTAGACTTTGCCATAGGGCCCACCTGTGGAGTATGTGCATAAGGTGGAAGCTGTTGCTAAGGGACATCTTGGAAGCCAAAAACAGTCCGCAATATTGGTGGGCGTAGGTTGAGCGGTTAAGAACCATTAGTTCCCCTGCCAACCTCAGAAAATGTCCATGCAACACACATACAATCTCCAACCCTGTGGCACCTCCCCCCTAGGTATTAGTCTGGCTCTGAGAGACCCAAAGCATAGCTAAAGCTGTTAATGTGCATATAAGAGGAGGGTTTTTTTCTCTCTTTTTCTAGTGCTATGTCTTGAGAGCTTGACTTTGTGACCTCTTTTGTCATAAGAGGTCCCAATCCATCGGGAGCCTTTGTCGTCTCAACCTTTTGTTGTTGTTGTTAGTGGCACTACCACCTTGCAGCAGAAGCCTTTGCTTTCTTGGAATATTTTTGGGAGTGAACTTTCTGGATCTTGTGAGGGCTGCTCCTTTTGCACTCTCCTTTGGGGATGCCTCTTGTGTCCATAGTTAAGCCATAAATGCTTGTAGATATTGGGACGTTTAAAACTGATAAGGCAAATATGCCCCCAGAACTCCATCTTGGAGAAAACTTGAGTGGTTTCTCTGTGCCTTTCTGATGTAGTTGGACAGGTAGATCAACCTATAATGTCATTTCAGTTACAACCCAATTTCTAGAAATTAAGAGCCATTGTCCTTAAAAAAATCCTTGTAAGACTGGAAAAGCAGCTCTAGAGGCAGTTCAGGTTCCACCCATTTCCCTTATCTCAAAGAGCTTGCAAATCCTCTGGGGAATACCTAGCCCATCACTAATTCCTAAGACTAAAGAAAAAAAAAGGGAAAAAGGCCAAAAAAGGGCCATAAGAGCACCCTCGCCAAAAATCTAGCATCTTGAGTGTCTTCTCTACAAATATCGGTAAAAAAAGGCTTAAAACAAAATTTGGGCTCATAACTAGGGAGGCTCGTACCTGATTCATGGCAATAAATTTAAAACAATAGCTGTACATCTCTGTGTATGTGTGTCTATATCTACGTTATACGTGTGATATTTTACCTCCGGATGCTATAGTTTCTAAAGAGCTCTATTCAATTGGTTTAAAGTAAGCACTTACAAAAATTATTTCTAAATGCAACTAACCCAAATGTCTTTCAAGTTAACGTGATATGAAATAATCTTTGGTAAATGAAATCTTGTTTAAATTTGTTGACTTGATTGAAATAGACATGTCCTCAGAGTTATCAGCATTGGCTATGATACAGACATGCAGCCTTTATTCTATATTTATTGGTCAAATAAGCTGATGTTATCTCTACCACAAAACTGGTTAGCAAAAATAATAAAATAATGGCTAATTTTGTCTAATGTCTCGTTAAGTTTTATAGGCAATCTAAGTAATTATTGGAAACAAGTAAACTGAATAAATATAAAAAGGGTAAAAGTTTTTAGGGAAACTTTTAAACAATTATGTGTTATGATGTATGTACTTAACTTAAGATGATGGCTAACTGCTTTAGTGTCACATGAAGTTTTTGTGAGTAATCTAAATATGATTGTTACAAACAAATGATCTAGATGTAAGTGAAATGAGTTTATAGGTAAACTTTTAGCAATAATTATAGTTTATAACATGGCTACTTAAAATAGTTTCTAAAATCTCTTTGGTAACTTGAAACATTGAAGTTTTGCTAGGTTAAACTGAATGATAGAAAATTCATTAAATATTTAGATCACTTCTTATTAAAGAGAAACTAAAAGGTATTTAGGTCTATTAGTAAACATGTCTTGTATTTTATTAAAAGATTGTACTATGAAGTAACATGTTTTTAGAAATTATGAAAGGTATTTATAAATTTGCCAAGCCACAAATGCTAAAATAAAAGACAGTTCATAATTGCTTTTTAGTTTTTACTAAGGTCATTAAGGGTTAAAAATTCTTTGTTTTTTTTTTTTTTTTTTTTTGTGGGGAAGATCAGCCCTGAGCTAACATCCATGCCAATCCTCCTCTTTTTTGCTGAGGAATACTGGCTCTGAGCTAACATCCATGTTGATCTTCCTCCACTTTATGTGGGATGCTGCCACAGTGTGGCCTGACAAGCGGTGTGACGGTGCACGCCCGGGACCCACAGCCAGGCCGCCAGCAGTGGAGAGCACACACTTAACCACTACGCCATGGGGCTGGTCCCAGGGTTAAAAATTCTATTAAAAAATTAATAAGGAAAACATCTTTGTATTCAAGGAAAGTAACATGTATGTTTTTAGTAAAGAAGGTATAAAGAATAGGAATATTTTTGTTTGTTTTGTTAAGAAAGATAAATTTGTCCTAAAGTATTGGAAGGGAAGAAAAGAAGGCATGGGACAAATTCTGAATGTAAAAAGAAAGTTATAGAAGGTTGGTGGAAGAGGAACCCTAAAAAAAGAGTTTCATGCATGGTCAAGTTGGCTAAGATTTAATTAAATTTAAGTGAATAAGTTTTAACATAAAAAGTAAGCTGTTGAAAAAAATAAAATATGGTTTTCTCTTTCTCTTAAAAGGGATAATTTTCTTAAACTCTTAATCTGCTCTTGGTAAAGAGGTAATAAAATGTTTTTCTTTACCTTTGAGTAAGTCTACCTAAAAGATAGAAAAACTATGTTTTGTTAAAATAATTTCCTATCTTCAAAAAGACTGAGTTATCGCTATTAAGTTTTTTTTTTTTTTAACTATTTGGCTCTCTCTGTTTGCCTTCAAGACCTTGGTTGTCACTATAGCTAAATGGATAGCTAAGCATTGTTTCTTAGGGATCTATGATATTGTGTTGGTGAATGTTATTGATATAGGTGTTTTGAAATTGTATAACTTTACTAAGATTTTGGTCTGTCCTGGTTATCAGTCATAATTCTGGTTATTATTTTAAAAGGTTGTATGTCACAAAATTAACCAAATTTCTTTGTCAGTTGCCATTTTGGGGTCTTGTTGTCTACACACAGTTATTGTTTTACTCTGATGCTTTTGCAAAATATGTTTCATATTCAGAGAAATTCATGGAAAGGACTCTGGTGCTTACTCTAGAATATAGGCTTCTCATAAATTTTCAGATCATAAAACTGAACTGGATAAGAAATAACAGAACTCTAACAGAGAAACTGCTGACTTCATGAAACTGCTAACAGAAGATTAAGATCAAGAATCTATTACACAGGACTGAGTGAATTGATGAGGATGATTATAATTTTTCTGACTTTTGTTTGAAGTATTGCTGATTTTTAAAAGTGTTTTTTCAGATTTAAGGAAAACTTTTTCTTTTTTCTCTCAAGCTAACTGTGGCTTATAGCAATTTGGTAAATTATACTTTTTTAAGCAGAATTGAAACATTTATCTTTTTCTCTCTACCTGATCCCTCCAGAATTTGGAAACTCTTAGTAATTAAATACTCTTATTTCATGGAAATATAGTTATTTGCATAAGTTCAATAAGAATCTGTTCTCCTTATAACAGGCCACAATTGGAAACATTGATTATAATACCAAGGCTTTGACTGGAATGTCATATTTGTGAGAAACATGCATAGACTCAGATATGACCAGATAGCTTTTGAGAGACAAAGATGGGACTTTATGGAATAAAACCACTTGGAAATATTGGCCTGGTACTTTGTTTACAGCATTCCAAACAGCAACCTTACTGGGTAAGTAAGGAATGTCACTTATCTGGCAGGTGCAAGGAACCTCAATACTTTGGGGAACCTCAAAAGAAGAGAGGAATTCACTCAAATCTGTAGGTATTACAGGCAAAGTGTGATGACAAAGTCCTTGGCTTGGCTTTCCTGGCCTCAAGAGGACTTTAAAGGTCAATCTGAGCTTCCTTATAAAAAGGTCTAGCAAAGCAGGTTTAAAAGAGCCTATATGATCAATGACTAGTCTTGCTGCACTTACATAAATAACTGAATCAAGTTTTATTAAAACCAGACTTATTTTGCAAACCAGTTTATCTTAATTTGGCTATCTTTTACAAAAAAAATGAGGGTGGTTTTAGAGAGAAAAATTATGTTTCAATGGAAACTATAGTACACATTCATGGATATTAAATTCTAGTTCTTTTAATTATCTTTGAGGTTTTTGTTTTATATCTGTTCACTGGACTGGATCCTGAATTCTTCTAGTCTCCTGAAATATCTGGCTACAAATCTCCAAATTAACATTTTCAATTTTTTTCCATTGTTTTCACTTGGAATCATTGAGAACTGAACCTGCCCTTTTTCCTGAAGCCTTGCAAACTGAAGCTGGTGGACTTGATATAAACTTAAGAGAGATTCAAGTCTGTTGCTATGTAACCCACTCAGAAAGGTACCTGCATACCCAATGACACCATCAGGGACATTTTAAACTGCAAAAGATGCTTTGACTCTGACATGTAGAAATCTTTTTGACTTGCTGTGCTCTGTCCTCGGAAACTGGTTTATAATTTGCTCCCACCATTAACTTTGTTTTTCTTTTCATCTTATCAATTACCTGGTTACTTGCTTCCACAATACAGGTCTAACTTTGGGAGCCCACCTGCATCACCGTCTTCCTAAGAGACTGGTTCAATAAGATGGAACAACAGGATATCCCTTAATCCTGAGGGATTAAACAATAAAAGGGGGGAATTTATACTGGCTCAACACAAGGTTGACATAAGGGAAGCCATATTGTAGAAAAGAAGCCCTATTGTAACTTTGAATGAACTCTGACTGACTAACCCAGGTGGATATGCACCCTTCAGGAGATCTAACTGCTCTGTAGATTTTACAAACCCTGCTTGTGCATGTACCTCCCAGCTGTGATAAGATGATAACTTTGTTCTTGTGAGTTCCTTAGGAATGTGATGACCCCCGAACAGAGAGTCTATGCTGATAGCCATCATCAATGAAAACTGAAAGATCTGGTATGGCACTCCCAGTCTGCAACACCCGAGGGTCAACATTCCTAACCTCCTCCCCTATAACCCAATGGCTTATATAACTGCTGTAAGATTTTGTGCCCCCTTAAGCTGGTTCTTTCAGACATTAGTTGGCCATCTTCCCCCTTGCTAGCAAGCTGTAATAAACTGCCCTTTCTTTTCCACCATCTTGCCTCTTGACGACTGGCTTTTGTCTCTCAGCAAGCAGATCACGCCCTTTGTGCAGTAACAATACAGGCACCAAGGCTTGTTCACCCCATGTCCACAGCACCAAGCACAGTATTTTCTGATGGACTGGCCAAGACACTACTAGGTAGAAATTCCAGGGGGCTTGAGCACCTCAGGCAGGGCCATCCTGCCTCCATTGTCTCTGTGATGCTGGGCCTGGCACAAGGAGTCTTAGGAAACAGCTGTTGGGTGAATGAGTACAGGTGGGAGAGGAGGGAGAAGGCTCAGAGATGTAGAGCAAATGTCCTCAAATGACCTTACTAGAATGGGTCCCATCCTCAGGTTTCTTCTGGAAGAAATGAGCCTACCCCTTTCCTGGGCAGGAGTGAGCTCCTTGCCTACTCTGTCGACATTGCCCACTCTTGCTGAGAATCTCTAGGCAGGAAACAGCTCGAATCTTGTCCATGAGTGGGCTGGATCCCTCTGCCAGGTGCTTCCAAAGCCCGTTCCCCTCGGGCACCATGCTTACCATGTTTGCAGTTACTCATTCAACGCTGACTTTCCTCTTCCGATTGCCAACTCAGCCCTTCCTTGCCCCGTCACTAGGACCAGCCCAGCACGTGTGCATGCTCTATCAGTGTACATTCCCCAGTGAATGGGAGGATGAAGACTGGGGCCATTGATGGAGGGTGGACCGGTGGATTTCTTCCACAACATTTCCTTCCTGTATCCTAGCTTTTATCTGGTTCCATCTTTTAGGACACTGAAGAACACGACTTCCTCTAAACTAAGACTTTTTCTCCATATTCATAATTGTGTCCAAGTCTGTCAATATTTCCTGTCAGACTTATTTTAGATCTGGTTTTTATATCTCATCTTCATAAATACGGTATGATGACCATCTGATGATCTATCTTCTCAGACTTTGCTGGGGTATTTCTGGGGGCTGTGTCTTGGGGGGAGGCAGCCCTGTGGAGTGGGCATTTGCTGTTCTTACCTGGCTGGTCACGATTTCCTTCCATTTTTCTACCAGCACTATGGTGGTGTCCTCTCATCTCCACCTTCAACCACGTAGTTTGGGTGGGTGAGAGCTCAGGGACAGCTTTCATCTCAGGCCCCAGCAGTCAGCATATTCCTGTCTTCTGTCCACAAAGGCTGAGTCAGGGAGGTCAGCATGGGCCCAGACTGAACCAGTGGAGGTTTCAATCCCGGGATTTTGACTGGGACCACTGAGAAAGAAGCTCTTTTGCTGCAGGGATGGCTAAGGTGTTAGTCATCCTCAACCTGCTGGTGACAATATTGCCAAGATGTGGGGAGAGTTTGCCTGAGAAAGGAGCCAACATGGAGCATGGCAAGAAATACTCAAGAACAGCATATGAGTTCCTGGATGCAGGTGTACCTGAAGTAAAATATACCTAGACCAGTTTCTTGATGGGTACACTGTTGGCATTTCGAGTAGGACATTCTGCACTGTGTGGGATTATTCTACACATTGCAATATGTTCAATATCCGCAGCTCCCACAAGCAAAATGCGGGTCATTTTCCTAGTCACTGTAACAACCAGAACCACCCCCATCATTTCCACATATCTCAGATGACTGTCCTCAGCGTTTCAATTACTTGAGTCAAGAATTTCCCCATTTTACTTATTCCAGTGGGTTTTCTGACATTTTCAAATGGAAGGGCCCTGACTAATGACACTCTGTCACAACATTTCTGGGTATCTGGGATTTAATCTCAGCAGACCAGTTGATCTTGGTGTAGCCTGTCAGAGCACAGGACTAGTTCAGAGAAGAGCCAATGGCCAACACAGGTACCATCAACATAGACAAATAAAAAGTTGTCCAGGGGGCCAGCCCTGTAGCTTAGCAGTTAAGTGCACGTGCTCCACTACTGGCGGCCCGGATTCGGATCCCGGGTGCACACGACACACCGCTTGTCTGGCCATGCTGAGGCGGCGTCCCACATACAGCAACTAGAAGGATGTGCAACTATGACATACAACTATCTACTGGGGCTTTGAGGAGAAAAAGGGAAGAAAAAAAAAAAGGAGGAGGATTGGCAATAGATGTTAGTGCAGGGCCGGTCTTCCTCAGCAAAAAGAGGAGGATTGGCATGGATGTTAGCTCAGGGCTGATCTTCCTCAAAAAAAAAAAAAAAAAAAAAAGTTGTCCAGTCCTGGTCCTAGAAGACAACACAGAGGGACAGCCTCACCATGGCAGGGCCAGCCTTGAACATTGGGCGACAACAGCTAGACCTGAGTCAGGGCACCTCTAGCTCACAGGACCAATGCACTCCGTTGTGGGCGGCCAGATGTGGCCTCCTTTGAGAGAGTAAGAAACCATCTGCAAGGGCAACGTCAAGTGGAAATGAGAAGAGAACTCCAGCAACATGTTCAAATAATAAAGATCCTGACAAGATCCACAGAGACGGCGACTGGCTCTGTGAGGCCCGGAGCTGGGGCTGGCTTGGGGAGGGAGGGCCTCAGGGCCTCCGCAGCTTCCTCTGAGCAGCACAGGCTTTATGAGGGGGTGCTGTGTTCTACCTGGACATGTAGGGTCTGAGCACAAGGAGAGACAGTTATCTTAGCGTTGGAAGGGCCTGGAGGGGCTCCTGCCCTCGTTCCTGTAGTGCAGGCCCACGCCAAGCTCCCTGAGGCACAGCTCAGAGCAGGTCCACAACTGTCGACAGCCCCTGCCGGGGGACTGAGCACGGCTCCTCCCAGCAGTCGGGCCTGTGTGAGCCACAGCTCCACCACGTACCACTGTGTGGTGCTAACCAGGCACCAGGCCTTGTGCTCCCTCCGTTTCCCCATCCGTGAAACAGTATGACACTAATGCCCACCTCATAAGGTGGTTAGTGCTGACAGCAGAGTGAGTGTTGGCTACCATAACCGTCATTTTAGGATTTCTGCTGCATTCCAGAAAAAGCCAGAGACTGGAATTCAGAAGTCCTGGCTCTGCCACTCATTTAACCCAGAGCTAATAAAAATACTTCTCAGAGTCTCAATTTCTTCTCTGTAAATTGGGAATGATAAAGACTACACCTCGGGGATGTTGTAAGGATGAACTAAGATAATATTTGTGAAAATACCTCATAAATAAAGATTTGGGACAGTATCTCAGCCCCGCCATTTGGAGAGCCCCCAGGTGCTGGCTTGCCCCCCTTTAAAGGAAGCACACTAGGGAGAGACTCGCGGGAGGCCTCCTGCAGGCTTGGCTCCCTCTTCCGCAAATCTTCACAAGCCTCTGTTTAGGCGTTCCTCCCAGATTAGCCCCTCTCATTACCCACAGTGGTGTGTTGTCTTTGCAGCTCTGCTGAGAGCTGGCTGCTCTCCCTGCTCCCTGCAGCACCCAGTGTAGCTCTTCATGGGGAACTTTAAATGAAGGGCTGGCCCGTGGAGCTGCTCCCCTGGGAAAGAGGACCCAACACTCCCCCAGTGCAGATGTGCCACCTTGTTAGAGGCAGAGATGCAACCCCTGCTCATAAAGGCCAAGGGACTGAGGCCTCAACTGGGGCCCCAGCTCACTGGTGGACAACGAGAAACGTCTCTGCTACCCAGGCTGAGCAGTCGCACTGCCCTGACTCGCACACTGTTCTCCCCGTGAGTGTTAAACTGGTGAAGGGAAATTAGTCCTGTTTGCTTAGTGAGCATGCATTCAGGACAGTGGGAGTAGTTGCACGCTCTGAATGTAAAAAGGCACCAGGCCCTGAGGGGTTGCCATATCCAACTCTATAGTCAGGCTATCCCTGCCCAGCAGACCTGCTGCACTGGCCACCAGACACCCTGTCCCGACAGATTGTGGTGGGCACTGCACACCTACGTGTCCTCTGGCCCGTCTCCCCACACTGTCATGCGTGACACAGTATTTCTATAGAGGTTCTATATAGGTTTAGCACCCAGCTTTTGGAGCTGGCGAAATAGTCTCAAGTTTGGTGTTCCACTGAGCTTTGTGATCTGCAGCAATTCATGTCGGTTGTCTAACCTTGACTGCTCACCTAGCAGATGAGATAAGATCATCTTTCCCCATGCCTGTTGGGAGAAGTAAGTGAGCACGTATGTGCTTCCTCATGGTAGTGCAGGCCCTCACCGTCCTCCCCTCAGAACCCACGGTGTGCTATTTACTCTTATACAAGTTCATTTCACTTTCATGGAAGAGTACAATGGGTCTTTGCTAAGCTTCCTTCCAGATCAAGTATACACATGAGAGTCAGACTGTGGCCATGCATCTGGGCCGGGAAGGCGGGGAAAGCCTAGTTCAGGAAACACCCAGATGTGTTTACGGCCCACAGGGCAGGCCTCTGCCAGGGGTCAATCCGTCTGCCTGATTTGGGACAGGCCCACCGTTCTGGAGGTCAGCAGCCTCTTGAAGTCCCTCCTGTTGGTGAATTCGAGGCACTCTCCACCCCTTGCTCCAGAAAATAGTGCCCCATGGCTCGAGCACCCCACGGGCCAGACACACAAGGGCAGGGTCGTGAGTGTGCTGGTCAGGAGGTCAATACCAGGCACTCTTGGTTGACAGGGACTTGAATAACTACCAACACAAAATGCTTTCCCACAAAGGAAAGTGAGTCGTCTGTAGAAGGTCACCCCGCTCTTTCTGACAGACGAACCCCTGGAGGGGAGATAGAGGTCCTCCATGTTCTCTATGCCTGGCCAGCCTGTGACTCAATCTTACCATCCGTCCAGCAGATCTCTGGCCTGTGGGGGTATGGCTATCTGACTTTCCCAGTCTCCTCTGCAGCCCACCCCCCGATACAGACCCTGTGTCCCCCACATGGAAGCACTCTGACTTGGCAGCTGTCTGAGCCAACAGGCTGGCCACAGGGACACAGGATGGTGCCTGCCTGGTTCTGCTCCTACCCAGCCAGGTGTTTCTGCCCAGGCGCCCCAGCCTCTGCCCCCTCTCACTGCTCCCACCATCCAGACGCAGGACCTCTGCACGTTCATTTTTATTTAAGGACTCAGAAACACGGGCATCATAGTTCATCATCACTGTCAATTCTTCCAAAATCACACACTGACATTTGTGTATAACAAAAACACTGCGGGGTGTGTGTGTGTCTCTGTGTACTGTGCAAAGTACATAGAATTTCCCAGCCAGTCAGCTGAGCGTGTCTGGGCACTGGAGCCTGGCATTCATACCATGAGGCTGCTGGGGAAGGGCTTGTCTGCTGTCTCCCCACTGCACTCCTGTGGCCTTTTGGTGGCCCGAATGTCCCTGTCCCCTCAGTGTCCACCGACTGACCTCATTCAGTGGACTGTGGACTCTACTGCACTTCTCAAAGCAAGTCACCTTGGTTTGCAAATGCCACTGCACAACCAAGATGTGTAAGTCCCTGGCCCAGGATGGAATGTGAGGGTTTCAGACAAGTGTTGGTTTCATCTTAGTAGCCCAAAGAGTGTGTTCTTCCAGGCAAGACGGCCCGAAGGAAGGGTCTGATTCTGCTCCTGCTCTCGTCTGGGGGTTAAATGGTCATGAAGGCTGATGGGTCTGAATGAACGTGTTTGAAAACAGCCCAAAGCACAGGGGCTGGTCCTGCATGTCCCTGCTCTCTGGGAGCCCTGCCTGAAAGGATGCCCTCGTGCTGGCAGGCCTATGGCATTGCTTTCCTTCCCAAGGCAGTACACGCTTGTCCCTGACTCTGCCATGAGAGGGCCACCTAATACCTCACAGAGACAGCTGGTTACTTGCCCCAGCTCTCTGCTGTAAGGGGGTGCTAGGCCCCGGGGGGCTGCCGCCTGCCCCAGTCACTGGGCTGTTCAGCAATTCCTACCTACCACAAGCATCATGTGGGCGGCGAAAGAGGAAAGAAGATCCAAATTAGTCTGCTCTGTTGCTTGGTAACTGCCGTTGTTGAGAATAAAATGACTTTCCTTATATCTGGGGATTTCAGTCAGTTCTGGTTTCACTGGAGAATGTGTGTCTCCCTCAGCATGTTAATCCATGTGCGTTTTTGGTGATGACATGACTTGAAACATGCACATGATTTTCGTGCGTGGTAGGCAGCTAATCTGGCAACTGATGGCCAACGCATGGCCTCTGCTTGTCATTTACTCAGCGCACAGGCCTCCTTACGTTTAAATTGGACTTTTAAAAAATTTGATTCAGAAAAAATTTGTTAAGTCTATTAAATCGATTATCATCTGGAGAGAGAAAAAGAAGCTTTCTCTAGGCATGATCCCAGCAGCACCGTAGCCACCTGGCAGTGACAAACAGCCAAGTCACATTCCAAAATAGAGACTCTGAAAATAAGTGTTCCGTATTTCAAATGCATCATGCCAGGCAAGGGGATGGGTTTCTGGATTTTGTTGAATTCCTAGAAACCAGCGAGATTCTATGTTACCAAATGCTAATTTATTCAGCCTATTTAAACCTGAGGGATTTTGTAAAAATATAGAAAGAGCAGATTGATGAATTGTGACTCTGAACTGATAGGAATGCATTCCTAAGGTGTGCATCTCTGAGAATAAGCTGCCTCGAGACAGAGCTCCTCCCACCAGAGCTGGGACGCAAGCTGCTGGACTCATGGACTCACTTCGTGGACTCACTTCATGGACTCCACGGCGGGGAGGTCCGGGGACCAGAGCTGCGCCCTCTCCTCCCTGCCTCCCGGGTCCTGTGAGTCTGCAGCAATGCCTCAAATCCTTTGTTAACCTCACTGTATCTCTAGTATCGAGACCAAGGTTGGCACTGTCTGACAGAGGACGAGTTATTTACTAAAAAAAAACCAAGGAAAAAAAAAAAAGACAAAACCTTCACAAGGCAACAAATCTGAACTGTGGTAAAAACTGTACATTTCAATAGTGAGAAATCATATTTTGACAATGCTAATTGTAGTCATTCTCTCCAAAGCAATAAAAGGAAAATTCTGCCTTCCTGGGCTGGGGTCAACCTTCATGTTCTTTTAACTGCCACACAAAAGGTAATTATAGTGACCTTTCCTCAAAATGTTTCCAGTTCTTGAATAATAATTATCACTGTTTAGACAGAGGATGGGGCTTTGGTAAGGTTTAAAGAAATTGGCTTTTGCCAAACTTTCTCCAACCACCTAAATGGATTCCCTCTTATCCCACGGAGCGGTAGCCAACATTGTGATGGCGAGGACCTGGGCTTTCAGAGCTCTCCCAAATGCACATGGTACATATAAAAATTCTGCCCATTTGATGTCTCCTCACACATTTTTTTCTTTCAAGCTCAACCAAGTCATTACTAGTTTTACAAAAAGGCAGCACCAGATGTGTGAAAAATAGGGAATGTATGACCTATTAGAAATATATGAAGTCTAACAGTTATACATTAAAAAGATGTAAGAAAGAAGCAATGCAAAGGGACCGTGGTGGCAAAACACAAATGCTGCTTATAATACTGGCAGGAGACAAAGCCTGTGGGATCCAGACCCAACAGGAGCCGTGGAGGGGGTGCTTTCCCAGGACTTCGGCCGGTGAAGGCCCCTGGGCCAGGAACACCCTTGGCTGAGGAGCCAGGCGGCATGTGACTGAGGTATATAGAGAGGTGATGGAGCAACGTGACCCCACGTGAAGCCCGGGGCAGCTGGCAAAGACATTCTCCAGGCTCTCTGGGCCCCCCGCCCCACAGCCGGTCCGCAGCTTCCAGCCCGGCACGGGCGGCGACGAGAACACAGCAGCTCCACAGGGCCATCAGCCACATCAGTATCGTCTTCCCTGTTCCGACATCTCTTTATAGTTTACACAGAGGAGGCATTTCGTGGGTGAGCGACCCCAGGGTGTGCTCAGTCAGGGGTCTGGGGCAAAAGCACACCCTTCACACCTCAGGCTCCGACCCCACCCAGGGGGCCCCACCAGGCGCCTCGGAAGGGACCTGGGACCCTGGGGCACCGTGGCTCCCTCTCCTCGTGCCCGGGGCTTCCCGGGGGTCTGCATCCCTGTGAGCTGTGCGGGAACGCGTCCTCAGAAGCTCTCCACGAAGCTGCCCGGGAAGAGGCCGGTGCGGCCGGTCCTCTGCAGTGTCCCCTTGTACCAGCCGTCCTCACGCTTCTTGTGCACAAAGACGATGTCACCTTCCTTCAGCTCGATCTCCGCCTCGCTCTGGGGTGGGTATGAGACCACCACGCGGTACCTGGGGGGACACACGGCACGGTGGGTGAGCCCGACCCAGACAGGCCTGCCTCCCGCCCAGGCCGCCTCTCTGTGCACTTCTTTTCCTTTTCCTTCTGATGTAAACTGTTGTAATTCGGGGCTACTTTTCCCACTTTAAAAAAAACTCTACTTATCTTTACTTTTAATTTTTCCAAAACATTTTAATTTTTAAAAATAATTCTTCCCCTTGGTGTCCTTTTGGATACCAATCTATGCAGCTGGAATGTTTCTGCCCACGAAGCAGCCCCTCCGTGTGGGTCTCATCCTCCCTCCGGCCCAGGGGCAGGGGTGGCCGCTTCAGTCCTGACAGGCGGTGGGTAAGGGCAGGACACTGCTGTGTCCTCGGCTCTGTCCCGTCCTGGCTGCATGATCCTGGGCCGGCTGTCCTCATGAGTGTCAATGTCTCTGTCTGAAGAGCAAGCAAGTGAGGACACCTCTGGGGCGGTTGTCCCACATGATGTGTGAAGGTGTTTTGAACAATGTTGGTAAATGGTCACTCTTTTAAATGTGCTGCAAAAGTCACCCGCTGTTGTGGCCATAGCGCCTGAACGGCTTAAGGCACATCACAAATGAGGCCCGAGTTGTCATCCACCTCCTTCCTGCAAAACCTGGGCCTTCCCTGCAGCCTCCGAGGCCTCAGGAGAGTCCCGTTTTCAGATCAATGTGACATATAATTCGCCCAGAGACAGGAATCCTCCCCCGGGGACGCCTCTACCTGCTAGGGGCTTAGAGGGGGTGCTGCAGGCCTGGCCTCCCACCAAGCACAGACCCCCTGAGGGCCCCTCTGGGCCGCAGCAGGTCCACCGGGTGGGCAGGCGCCAGGCGCGGCCCCCAAAAGCTCCCCAGATCTGAGACAAGGGTCTGACCCTTTGGTCAGCACCTTGTCAAGGATCCAGAGTCCTCGGGTCAGCACAGGGCAGGCCCGACACCCCACCCAGGCCCCCCATCCCCCAGAGGAGGCCTCGAGGGAGGAGCAGGCAGCTAGAAAGAGAAGCTGCGCTCTCACGGAAGACCAGCCTTCTTCTGAATCACCACCAGGGGCAAATCCGCACAGCCCCCTGGTGCCGAGTCCCTCACTCTGCCCGGCCTGACAGGAATCGCCCACCCACCACTCCAGCCCACGTGCCTCCCCTGGCCCTCAGGGAACCGCAGGGGCACGTGTGCCCAACAGCTGCCTGGGCCCTGCACCCTTCACCCTGCGGCATGCAGGGAGCACGGACACTGCCCCCCTGCTGGGCACAGGTGAGCTGGGGCTCTGGAGCAAATCTAAATGTGGATGGGTTTTGTGGGAGGCCGGGTGTAGGTGCTCTCACTCCCTGAAAACCCCTAGCTCCAAGTTGCTACAGACACCCATGGGCTGAGGCGGCGCTGGGCGGGTTGGCCGGCAGGGCCAAGGTGCTCCATAACTGCTCCCCGACTGACCGCTGCTCCCGGACTGACTGGACAACGTCTCCGAGGGCTGCCTGGGACAGCACACACCCAACCGTTCTCAGACACATTCCCCCGCAACCTCACCACAGTCTCCCCATCACAGCCTCTCCATCACGGCCTCCCCATCACACGTCTCCCCATCACGGCCTCCCCATCACGGTCTCCCCATCACAGCCTCCCCATCACGGCCTCCCCATCACGGTCTCCCCAACACGGATATCCCCATCACGGTCTCCCCATCACAGCCTCGCCATCACGGTCTCCCCATCACGCATCTCCCCACCATGGCCTCCCCATCACGGTCTCCCGATCACGGCCTCCCCATCACGCATCTCCCCACCACGGTCTCCCGATCACAGCCTCCCCATCACGCGTCTGCCCACCACAGTCTCCCCATCACATGTCTCCCCATCGCAGGTCTCCCCATCACGGCCTCCCCATCACGCTTCTCCCCATCACGGTCTCCCCATCACAGTCTCTCCATCACGGACTCCCCATCACGGATATCCCCAGCACGGTCTCCCCATCATTGGTCTCCCCATCATGGTCTCCCAGTCATGGTCTCCCCATCACAGGTCTCCCATCACGCATCTCCCCATCACGCACCTCCCCATCACGCATCTCCCCATCACAGTCTCCTCATCACTCGTCTCTCATGGGTCCTCCAGGGTCCTGGCACTTGCCCCACTCGGGCTCCCTGCTTCACCCTTACTCCTCTTCAGCCTGCTCTCCACTCAGCAGCTGTACAAGTGAAAACACAGGCAGAGATCATGGCCCTCCTCTGCTTAGAACGTTCCAATGGTTTCCCATCTCTCAGAGTAGAAGCCAAAGTTGGGAAACGGCTTCTGTGTTCCCATCGCCCTCTGAGCACGTCGGTGCTCTGCGACCTCCCCCAGCTGTGGCCCAGGATGCCCACCTCAGGGCTCCTGTGCTGGCTGTTCCCTCTGCCCTGAAAGCTCTTCCTGTCACAGCCACCTCAAGCCTGCCCCTTCCCTCCCTGTCCCTAGAGCACTCCCACCTTCGCAGGCCCTGCCATTACCTACTTACTGCACTTACTGTAGGTCTCTCCCCCTGGCAGGCAAGCCTGGTGATGATGGCAGGAACTCTGGCCCTGGCTCCCTGCTGTGCGCTCAGTGCCGAGAGCAGGCCCAGCACACAGCAGCAGTTCAGCGAAGAGCTGTCCAGTCAGTTCACTGTTAGCATGTGCTGGAGGGCAGGCTGGAGGCCTGGAAGGGGAGCTGCTAGGTGAAGGGTAGAGCTGCTGGGGGGTCAGAGGAGCAGAGGCAGCAGCAACCGGATGAATGCCAGCTGGGGGCCAGGAGCTCTGCTGCTGGGAGGAGGGGGAGGCTGGGCAGTGGGCAGGGCTCCACCATAAACCTCCCAATAAACTTGTCTCATGTTCACTGATGACCCAGGCCCCAGAAGGCCATTGCTTCTTGCTCCTCAGTTATCAGTCCAGCTGCCACCCCTCCTGTGGGCAATGGCAGATAACAGGAGTTGAGGTGTGTGCAGTGGGCTGGGTGAGGAGAGCAGTTCACGGGGCTGCCTGTCCTGCAGCTCCTCTGCTTAGGGGCTGAGGCCTGTCCCTCTGCTGTCCCTGCCCTCAGGCCTGCAGCTGCAGCTCCTGTGTAGTGGTACCTGCCCAACTCACAGGACCCCAGATCCTCTTCTTGAGTCTTGCAAACCCCAAGGTGGCATCCCCCGAGTGGGCAGTTACACAGATTACACACTCCCCATTCTTCTCCGCCCGGCCCTGCCTAGCAGTCTCCTGGCTCTGGGCCCTTCCAGCTTTCCCTTCCTATGAAGAGGGCTACCGAAAGCCCCCAATGGAGAGAAGGATCCTGACAAATTGCACGGGCAGCGGTGGCCTGACCTCTGTTAGAGGGCCACCCTAAGGAGGCCCTGCTGTCCCCTCCTCCCGGGCAGTGCCCAGGCCATGGTCCTGGCCCACTAGCTGGGTGGGGGAAGGTGGGAGAATCCTTTACCCTCAGTCTTCTGTGGGCTGCCAGCTGGCTGTGAAAGCTTGCCCCTGGTCCCCGACTCTCTCATCGGCCACAGCCACACAAATGGCCCCTGAAGGAGATCATCCAGGTGTCGCGGCAGCTGGCTGCCCTGAGGGTCCTCAAGGGGCTCTATGTTTGACCCAGTATATTCTGGTCTTTAAGAAACTAGGACATTCATTGTAAAACAAAAGAGCTCCTAAGACAGCATTTCTCAAAGTGTGGCCCATGGGCTTTCAGGACCCTGGGTCAGATTCCTGGGCTCCATCCTGGACCTACTTGAGAGGCTCTGGCGGAAAGGGGCCAGGAATGTGGATTTTCCACAAATCCTCAGGCAAACGTCTGCACGCTGCTGAGAATCAAGGCGCTGAGGAGGACGTCACCCTTCCTCAGCCCCACATGCTCACACAGCCTGCGGCACCGCCTGGCTAGGTCAGGACAGGGAAGCCGTGGTTTGGGGCAGCTGGGGCTGGCACTGGGGCTCGGATGATGCACAGGTGGAAAAGACCAGGCCCAGCCCTGGCAAGCTCCCAGCCCCACGTGCCCCAGGTGGTGAGAGCAGGGCAGAGAGGAAGGCGGCTCCTGAGGCCGACCTGGCAGGTGTGCAGGTATCCTGCTGCCGAGGAAGCATGGCTGGCCAGGCGCTCTAAGTGTCCCGGAATGGCCACGGGTGCAGGAGGGTTGGGCCAGTCTCCACTGCCATCCCTGGGGCCAGATGCTGGCGTTCAGGGTGTGGAGGAGAGGGAGGAAAGCCTAACTCCCACCCTCCTCCCAGCCCAGCAACTCTGCAAACAGCTGCCTGCCGGCCACTCCCCGGAGGAGGACAGATGGCCGCCAGGATGCAGCAGTGGTCAGTGACATCAGCCAGCACTCAGACTGCGCCATTCCCACACCCCCACACTCAGGCTGTGTGTGCCGCCACGAAGACCAGCGCCGGTCCTATGTGGCTTTCTGCCTCCTCCACTCCTCTCCAGACACCTGCCTCCGTCTCTCAGCTCTCAGCTCTCGGGCAAAGGGTGAGAGGGTTTCTCAGACTCCAAACACAACTTTTGGCTTTTGCCTCAACTGCCAGATGTGAAACAAACCAGCAACTTTAAAAATGTAATTTGTTAGGGGGACAAAAGGTAATTTGGTACTTCTGAGCAATTCAATGATTTAATGAGCCCAGATGGATGATGGGGGCTGAAGGCATATGAGATGAGCATTTAGCGTTTCTGTCCAGATCATTCCAAGACTCTGAGCTATTCTTCCTGCTGCATGAAGTAACTGATACTCCCTGTTATGGACACAAAGGGCCAAATGAACAGTTAAGGACAGCAGCTGCTCCTGCGTCACGATTGTGCTGTCATAAATCAGTAAGAGCCTCTCCTCTGCAGAGCTGAGGGTATGTCAACCATAGCTGATTGTCAGACATAAGACACGGGGGAGCAAAAGGCTCAACATCAGAGTGAATTCTTACCACTGCACACTGCAAGATGCTTTATGTGTGAGGTCTGGAGCGTTCTCCTCCCGTGGTGTCTGCTCCCTTCCCTGACAACGGGGTCACAAG